ATAAATATACTAAAGAAAATGTATTAATATAAAACCTATATATATAGTGAAATATTTATAGATATATGCAATTAGAAGAAATTTTGTAACAAGACCTTAGAAGGTTAGAAATAAAACCAGGGAGAAGAGACTCTGATGTCATTCAAAACAAAAAGTGGTTCTTTTATGACTTTTTATTCTTTCCTGCCATGAAATAATTGGTGCTAATGTGGGTAGGAACTCCTACCAAAAAACTAGGAAGCCTTTGGATTTCTCAATACCAACAGACCTCATATTAGAAGGATATAATTAGATCAGTATGAATACTTGCAAAAACATCAAAAAGTGTTCGCATTCATGTTGTCCCTTAAATCCATAATTTTGCTGTCTTAAATGGAACTCAGAATTAAATGAAGAAACAGAAAAAGCAGTAAAACCTTTACCCTTTAAAGTACTAACTCAAGGCCAAACTGGAATTCTGACTTGTACAATGCTGCCCATCTAATGCTCAAAATCCTATGAAATCCAGCATAGGGATTATTTGCAGACATAAGGCAGTATGTAAAAATAGCCTAGAAAAACAGGTGTCTAGCAGCAATTTTTGCCCTTTCACAAAAAAATTTAGTAAAACCAAGTAACCCCCAATTAAAGGAACAGAGGTCTTGCTCATATTTCTCTTTTGCAAAAAGAAACAAAAACATCTATTTACCTGCAGGCGCCACATTCAAATGTTCCATTTCCTTCATGGCAGGCTGGACTATTAGGTTCTCCTTCACTTTGACACTGACATTCACAGATGAACTGGAGATTAATTTCCACTTCTTCAGTGAATCCCAGTGGTTTAATTTTAATAGTTTCATTTTGTCCTTTCTTTGGACATTCATTAGCTGTCACATTAATCTCAAATTTAACCTGCAAAGAAAAATAAATGGAGTGCCACGTTAATAAAAGGACTTTTGTCTGTATCATTAAAAAAACCCCAACTGAGCATTGGACACTTCAAGTGAATTTCACATATTTGAGTAGCAGCACATATAATTTAAGTTACCTCATCTCCAATTGAAATGTTAGAACATTTCCTCCCATCTTCTTGTGTGTCATTCACTCCATTCTTGCAGAAAGACTTATAACTGATTGTCACTCCCTTTGGTAGCTTGGTGTTTTCCAGGATAACCTCTGAAGAAAGGGACTAAAACAATAGTTATTAGCTAACTTTGAACTGAATCACATAAGCATTCTCCTGAAGAAAAGACATGATACAGGTAGGCACAGCCTAAGAGTAAATCCCACAGGCACACTAGAATTGTGCACATTCCAACATGCCAAGAAACAGCAGCCCAGGGCTGCCCATAGTCACACAGACCTCTTCTCATGACTGAGCCTTGTTATGCAGGGTCAGGGCAGGTCACCACAGACACTGGAGGCACTTGTGTAAATAAGCCCCTTTTCTCCATTAGAGTACAAGCAGCAAACAACATAGCTATGAAGAAAATATTTTGGGGCTAAACCCAGAAGTCCCAGAGGTTGATGTAGATATTTTGGGGCCAAGGGGTTGGAAAATGGCTCTCTTCTCCTCCATGTGGAAGGAAGGCAAGAACTGAAGGTGCTGAAGAAACAGTGTGGGGTTTTGTGTGGTTTTCATTTTTTAAAAGGGAAAACATGGATGATAACTTTGAATTTGTAACATTGTTTTAAGTGGAGTTAAGAGTGTATCTTTCTAGCCACCTAAGGTCTTATTGCCACAGTGTCTGAGAGTCTAAGGTGGTTTTACTGCAATGGTGGTATATTAATATTTTAGTATACTATTTTGTAGAAAAAAAGTAAAATCCACCTTGGAGTATCTGCCTTAAAAACTCATATAACAACTTAGAAGTGGGAAGATTAGTACAACCCAAATAAAATCAGAACTTACATTGTATGCATCAATGATGAGCTGAATCACATTGCTGGAGTTTGAAGACAATGTTCCCACTGCTGACTTTGGTATCAGATTTTTCAATTCCTTTCAATATTTATAAAAGTAGAAGGAAAATGACAGTCTTACTAAGGAACAACGTAAAATTTGTACTATAAATATCTGTATAGTGCTATAATGCTTCAGTGGATTAACAAGTCAAGATCAAGTACTTCAAAAAGACAAGGCCATGGTTTTGCCAGTGCTCGTCATGATTTTTGAGGTTATACACAACACTAATACAAACAAACATCCAGCCTTTTCTTCTCCTTTGCATTTTCATGTTAAATTTGGTAACAGAATACTAAGACCTTCTCTTATATTGTATGTGGTCAACTTGTACATCTTCAAGATCTTAGAGAAGCATCACACTTCTAGTGCATTAAAGACAAGCAGATAAAAGATGATTTCTAATGAAAAAGAAAGAAAACTTACAATGTGAATAAAGTTTAAAAAAGCAGAAGAAAAATAAACAGAAAAACCCCAAACCACCTTCTTAGGTTAAAGCAAGGAAAAATATGCAGCTCCTTTATCCAGTCATTTCCTATTTCACAATCACATCCAGCAGTTTAGTTAATTTTAAACATCAGGAATATAAATAGACCACAAAGGACAAAATACATTCTTTCATGAGTATGTCTCTTAATTCAGTGTCCACATCCCCCTCAGCTATTTTGCTGTAAAAACATTCACAAAAATTAACACTGTAAAGATGTTCTCCACTCCCTCCTACCTATGAAGTATAAAGAGGGGCAAGGAGGAGGCTACTTCCTCCTTGGAAATTACACATGCTCTCAGTATCGATTTGAACAAGTAAGAAAGGCTCAATAGTAAAAACACGAACAGCAAAACCGTACTTCCACAATCACTAACATTCATAGTTACTTTAATTTCAAATTAAACAATTTTAATGATTTCAGAGCAAATCTGAGTCAGCCAGTGTCTGATGGAAAAAAGTACAGAGGCCAGAATTATGTGTTGTTTATCTTTACCTTATAAACTGCCTGAAACTCCTCAGTAACAGCAAAGATTGTCTGAATATTGTTCTCACTAAGCTTCTGTACCAGATGAGCAATAGAGGGGTAATCCTACAAAAATCAAGCATAAAACACAATTCAAATCCGGGACACGTTGGTAGAAAACAATCAGAAAGACTCTGACATCATAAACACCTTTACAAACATACATAAAAGAGTTCTAACTAGCCAGCTTATGTCACAGCTCTAAAACAAACAACCTTCAGAAACAAACATTCATTGAAAAGATTCCATGTATGCCTTGTGAAGATAGGCGTTTTTTCACAGTAATATTATCATGTTCCCTGTCATTATCTCCAGGTTGAATCCTCAATCTTTATGTTCTCAGAAAACTACCTTTTGTAGTTTTCCATGACTTGTGAAAACTACTACCTTTTCTTCAAGAAACATTGCAAAAAATGAAATAAAACTGAACTAATTTCAGCTTTATACTGACCAATATCCACTTAACTCTAGAAATTTATGAACAAATTAACTTTGCAAAGCTTATTGTGTTTGCCCCACCCAGTAAATATTTTGCTTTTCACCTTTTGTCTGATCTACCTATCAATAAACCATTGAGACAAGGTTGCGAAGCATACTTTAACCATAAACTTTGCATCATAAGATTTCAAGCAATCTTAAAAAGAGCTGGCCGAGGAGCTCTCTGTGTTACAGTAGTACTTCTGAACACAAAGACTTGCAAAACAATAAAATAATGGGACAGAACCACTGCATTTTGCCAGTGGACATGCAGGATTATTAATTATTAAAAAGGTTAAAAAACAGCAGTACAAATCATAGTGTGAAAGTTGCCATTTCTTGAAAATTTCCAGTTAAGACTGGATTAATTCTTGCCCATTGGCTTTAGTTAAGCTAAGGTCGCTTGATATAATACAGAGATAAATGGGTAAAGTTCACAAGATGTAGCAGTCTGAAACTATATGAGATGACCTAACGAGGTTTTTTTTGAGCTTAAGCATCACAAAATATTAATTTCCTAGAAGATGATGCAAACACTTACATAATAGTGGCTCATTGTATACATATTATTTTCCAGATGACATTTCCCATCATTTGGTAAAACAATTCCACCAAGTTTACCATCTCCTGCGAAGTGAAATCCAGCATCCGTGGAAAACACTAGTAGTCTTGTAACATTTCTCCAGCCAATTTGTTCCTTGGGAAACAAACAAATGGATTTTTGGTATTCTGCACTGATTTATAGCATTGAAGACCAACACTTGAGAGATAAATGCATGCAAATGTAGACAGACACAGGAAAAACCACACTGCAGAAGTGGTTACCCTGGAAATCATAGAATCCACTCAAACCTTAAAAACACTTGCATTTTATTAAATGTCTGCTCCAGAACACTTGCTGCAAGTTTTTCTCCAAAGGCAAGAAATATTCTGAGACGTACTTTGGTCTGTTCAGTTCTCACTAGAGTATCTAATGAGTGATAGGGCTGTAGAAATTGGGTAAGTCAGTCCAGCTCTTTAATGTGAAGTCCCACTTTACGTCACTACCACAAAGCCTGAGCAAAGAAGACGGACACTCACAAAAATCACAGAATGGTTTGGGTTGGAAGGGACCTTAAATATCATCTTGTTCCAACTCCCCTGCCACAGGCAGAGACTCCTTCCAGTGGACCAGGTTGTTCCAAGTCGCTGTGTCCAACCTGGCCTTGAACACTGCCAGGGATGGGGCAGCCGCAGCTTCTCTGGGCACCCTGTACCAGTGTCTCCCCACCCCCACAGTGAAAAATTTCTTCCTAATATCTAATCTAAATCTACCCTCTTTCAGTTTAAAGCCATTCCCCCTTCTCCTATCACTACATGCCCTTGTTAAAGTCCCTCTCCAGCTTCCATCAAACTATTCTGAAACAACAACTACAGGCAGCATACAAAGCTTTGAAATAATTTGAGAATAGTTGCTTACTCAGGATTTCATACACTTTTGAGCAGAATTTGACTCTTCTTCTACAGCAAACTTTATAAACTTTGTACTTTGGAATGCATCTATCTGCTATAAACATGACCTCTAATCGGCACTGTACTTCCCAGTTTCGTTCACTCACTAGAGGTCTCCACAGAAAACAAATGCATGTATCCATGCAGTCTGCTTAGTCTCTCGTCTTGCTGGCATGAGATAACATGTCTAAACACCACTATAAAATGCTATGACTATATCCAAACAATTTAATCTAATAAAGCAGCAAAGAAAACCAATACACACTTACCCCACAAACTGCAACCTGCATTATTGCATCAAATCCACCTTCAGGAGAATCTAAATTCCCAGAAATGTGCTGTTTACCTACAAGTTCATTGAATTTATTTCCTTCACTGGTAAGGCTGAGCACATTTTTATAGCTAAATGGACTTGTACAGTTCTGGTCACCTGTACAAGGATTTCTGAGTTTGGCTGGTGTTGTACTTATATACGGCATCACAGTTTTCTCCACAAAAGAGCCAAAGCCTAAGACAGAACAATAAGAACCCTGTAAGCTGAAGAATGGAAGTCTCTTATTTATATTAAGACACAACAGAATGCAAATGCATTGTAGTTGAACTGATGTCAGAAACAGTTTCCATAATGGTTTACGTTCCACTTTTGGCATCCACACCAAGTACTCTTACATTCCTCAATAGGTTCTGTGTGTTAGAAATACCTGCCATAATACTGAAAACTTAAAGTTACTCTTCATATGTAATCATGTGAAAAGCATCAGGAAGCACATTTGATTTCCTTATTATTCTTTTTTTTTTTTTTTTTTATTAGAATAGACCAATCTTTCTTACCAATTCGGAAGTCTGAGGTAATTTTTTCCATTTCTAACATGAGAGCCGTTCCGAGACTTTTCACATTCTCTAAATCATCTTTCATTGAATAGGAGAGGTCCATAAGATAATAAAGATCGATGGGGTAGTCTTCAGCTCTCTTGAATTTTAATGAAACTGTTTGGGGTTCCCCTGTTTGAGAGATCAAACAAAAATAGAAATCATTAAAAATTCCACATCTGCACAGGCAAGAAAGATGCTTTTTTAAGGAAAGGCTTTGAAATATCAATAGAGGTTTTGAACAAGAGGCAAGTGATTTTTTTTTTCCTCCTGCTAACTGGAATGCTTAATTATGATAAAAAAAAAAATAAAAAGTAAATTCAAGAAGTATTTCTTTCACATGTTCAACTTCACATTTCCCAAGGTATTTTATCTCCCCACAGAAAATACTAGCCTGTTAAAAAAATCAAGTCTCTTTTAGTTACTGCAATTCCAAGTCTTCATACTTGCAATAATTTTAACAAGGTTCCAATAGGATCTAACAGCATAAATCTTCAATATCTATTTGCATCCAAGATGACTCCAAAAGTTTATTTTAAAAACAAAACAAAACCCAACCAAACCAACAACCTTCCTCCCTCCTCTCCCCCATCTAAATAGATTTATAAAAGAAAAAGCAGGTCTGGATGGAATATTTCCAGTTACTTGGCATCAAATATAGGCTGAAAGCACAGAAATGGCAGTGAGATAATGGCAAGTTACTATTTGTTGCAGTTGTAAGCCTAGATCCTGAGTTTTGCCAACAGAAGCACGTAGTTTCACTCTGATGTTGAAAGTGCAGAAAATTACACCCCACCCCCAACAGAAAACTATTCTTTTTCCTAATTATATATGAAATGAGGAATAGAATTAGAAATTTTATCCTCCACCCCCCTCAGTCACTGACGTTAAATGGTGATGTTACTGCTGCTGAAGTCTGCTTAATAATTATCAAGCATTTGCTTAGTATGAGCAAAATTAGCAAACTGGGGAAACCACTGGACAGGCAAAGTGAACAGCATATGGATCATGCAGCTATGCAACACTGTTTTCACACACACACATGCAAAAAGGAAAAAAAAAAAAAAAACCACAATAAAAAACCAACAAAAAAACCCCCAACAACCAAAACCTAAAAGCTTTAGATTTTCCTTAGCTGCTGTTTAAAAGAGCCGGAATAGAAACCGAATATCCCCTTTTTGAAGCACACACTCCCTCGCCAAGGAACATGGTATAAGAGAAGTGCTTATAAACAGAGTAATAATCATTTGAGTAATTAGATTCCGGTTGCCCAGGTCCCTCGTATGTTCTGATGAAGAGACTTTTATATCAACAGAGGAACAATAACTTGTTTTGAAGCAGAAAAGGTTACATTAGAAATAAATAGGGGCAATACTAAAATTACCAAGTAACTTTCTTTTCCTTTCCTCTCCTGATAACGCTCAACTTCTTCAAATGATCTTGCATTTATTAAGGCAGTCACCACCAAGCAGCTGACCCTGAGTACAGGCTCGTATTCCAGGTATAAACAAGGTAGCTGTTCAATATTTCTGCAGGACCTAGGAACTCTCCTTAAGGACAATCTCCATTATGCTCAAGTACTGCATGAGCTACTAACTAGCCCTGTTCCACCCTTCTCCCCCACTTGAATGACATAAAGTTCTCTTTAGGGGCTGGAAATGGTACACAGCTACTTTGTTCTCTTTACTGTAGTCTTGTGTCCACATCCTTAGCCTCTGGAAAGTATTTTAAATAGCAATCCAAAAAGCCTGCATAACTACAAAACCATTCATTTCCGGCACACATGCTTTAGGCAACAGCAGTACTTCAATGAAAAGGAAACACTCTAAGGTTTTGCTACTTTCATTCTAAGAATCCACACTGTAGAAAATCAACTACAAAATAGAGAGAACAAAATCTTACCTTTCTGACACATATTCAATCCATTCTGTATCTATTTTCTCCTAAGTTCTATTGGGAAAGAAGTGATAATATCTAACCTTTCATAAAAATCAAACAGTATTTGGAGTACCTAAACTCCTGGGGCTGACCTGAATGGCTCTGCTATCATTCAGGTTATCTGAACAATAGTAGCTTCTGTAACAAAAAGGTTACACATTCAAAACAAAAATCACAGATGTGGTGGTGATAGAAAAATCATCTGAACACAAGAATGGAATTGTCCTTACCAACTCTTAGTTTCAGTACTAATTTTTGTGGCTGGATCTGTGTAATAGCTTCTGGTTTCAGCTTCTCTGCAGCACCTATCTTACGATTTGTTACTTCTCTATCTTCAAGCACCTGTTTGCTACCTCTGGGATTTTCTATATCTTCCATGGGACAGCCTTTACTCTTTAGTGCTGCCAAGTCATCACATCGGGCAGATGTTGGTTCTCCTTCTTGCAAAAAGTCCTAAAACACACAGGCAAATAAGATCAAGTTTACAGCTACCTGCTATTTGTTATACTCTATGCACAGTAACACTTTTTACAACAACCCCATTTCCTCTTTATTTTTTTTTTTAAGTTCATTAATAAAGCACACAGTCCTGAAATTATACTAAACACATCAGTGGCTATTACTTAGTCCAGGAGTTTTCATTATTTATACTTAACTGTGTAAGCAAGATGAAAGAAACAAAATGCCCAATGTCACCTCTGACAGAAGCAGGACATCCTTTTAAACCAACTACTCTAAAAGTGACAGCAGGTGGAAAAAGCTTTCATCTGCATGTAGTAAGTAATCCATAGGGTATGTACAGCCTACTTGGCAACTACCCTCCCTTTTAACTTTCTTTTTTTTGAAAGGCTTTATTAAAGATTATGTAAGTGTACCTTGATACTCCACAACAAAATAATGGCAATATGCTGACAGAGCAGGGGAAAGACAGACAACTCTTATTTGGAGAAAACTGAATCCAAAGTAAGATACATGAGCAAAATCAACATGTAACTCTGTACTGAACAACAAACTACCATTACCTCAAATCTAAAAAAAACCCCCTCTAATCTCAAATATAAATAATGTTTCTAATTGAGAAACTTGGCAACTCTGATTCCCCCCCTCAAAAAAAAATATGTATATAAATAAATATATCTTTAAAGCTTGTCAGTTCTTGATGACTAGGACCTACAAACAATCTGATAGCTCAAGGCCAAATTTTAAAGTTAGTCTGTTTAACTAAATAGCTGAAGTTTACAAGCTGGTTTGGGGGACAGTGAGTAGGTACAATATGGACTTAAATATACATTATCATCTTCTAGCAAGAGCCAGGAAGATTTCCCAGTTTTCAGTGACAAACTGAAGACCACCTGTAGAAATAATTTTCTTCTGTTTCTAGCCTGAAGAAGACACTTCAGCACATATAGGCTAAATCACACAATTTAAGATTCTCTTACATTCTGTATTTTCTGAATTTGATTTTTAATTACATAGGAAAGCACTCTTTTTGTTTCAGACTGAAGCAAACCCAAACCAACCTCCTACACCCCAAGTCTACCAACAACAGAAAAATAAAATTTGAACATCTTTCTTTTATCAGATAAAACCTTCAGTCTCTTCCCCTATTCCACCTATGTCTGTCTAAAATTACCTCTTACTCTAATGTCAGTGGAAGAATATAACTAAGTATACCCATATGGATACCATACTGGAATGATTTTAAATAACTGCGAGACAGCCTGTAGGGTCTGTATACACTTAAGGTTTACAAAAGGAGAAGTAAACACATTGTGAAAACCAATCACACTCAAATCAGGACATCAGGGAAATCACAGTATCTGAACTTTAAAGTATCAAACTGAAGACTTACAGGAAACTATTACTAATGAAAATAAACACTTCTATACATTTCAAGTTTTTACTAAAATCTGAAAGCAAGGGGAAAAAACAAACCATACAAGGAATTTTGCAACACTTACTGTTTTTTTACACCAGCCACAGTTTGGTCCTGCTTGTATACATTCACCACATGATTTTGCATTAGCTTTTATGCAGTCACTCCCACCTAGCAAAGAACACAAATCAGTCACTTCATTTATGAAAAGGTGCCTACAACAACAAAATTTTAGCTCATTCCATTCTGTTTTTTTTTAAACTAAGTTCTAACTACTAACTAAACAGGTTATTAACATGAGATATGGCTGACATAGCCATTAGCACTCATCTAACGATACATTTATCTACATATATAACTGCTAAATACATATAGTTTTAGAGCAATGTGAAAGTACTGTGATGAAATCAAGTGACTTACCTTGCTGAGCAAATCCATTCCATATCAAGCAACAGAGGACGCCAGCCCACGTGAGCAATTTTAGATTAGTCTGGAATACAAAAGCAGAAGGCCACTGTGTTTCAGGGGAGACAAGGAACATGGAGCAGATGCAAATCAAATGAACGCAGCTGTATCAGCTGGACAGCTTTGCTCCAGTACAGCCATGTTTGTGGGCTAAACTGTATTTAGAAGGCATCAAACAGGGTAGCTTCAAAAAATTATTCTGAAATATTGTTAAGGCTGTATAAACCAGCAAGCAATGAGAAGTCTGAAAACACTATTCAACTGGGGGATGGGAAAGGAAAGAACCCAAACCAATCTGTTAACATCTTATAAAAAAATATTTATGCTCTGAATGTTATCAGAGAGAAACTTCTAAACAACGATACCACAGAAATACAAGAAGGAAATGGAGCTTCTCTGTTAAAGTCTCTGTTTCAAGATAAATATCAAGGCCCTTTCCAAAATATTTTATTTGGAATCTTCAAAGGGCATTTTACAGCCTAACTTTGCACATCTTATACTCCTGTCATGGTTTAAACCCAGCTACTAGGAAAAATAAAAAATAAAAGTTAACTGTTAAAGCTGAAACAAAGACAACTCCAAACTAGAACTTTCTTCTCACAGTATGCAACATAAAGCATCTTTGATATAAACTCAGCTCCTTTTCTAATTGTGTGAACAACAGAGAATTAATGGGTACCATCCTTATTAAAGAAAAAGCCCAACACTCTACCCTTTGTTCAGGGCTATAAATCCTAATGAAAGCCTGGCAGAAAAAAGTAAATACGTACAAACTATATTATGTATATGCTTTACAAGAAAAAATTTGAATGTTTATAAACTACATCTTAGGGTTACCATAATTTTCCCTAATTACTCCAGAGCTAGGATTACTTTTCTGAACACTCACAGAACAGCTTGGGTTGGAAGGCACCTCAAAGCTCATCTAGTTCCAACCCCCTTGGCATGGGTAGGGACATCTTCCACTAGACCAGGTTGCTCAAAGCCCCATCCAACCTGGCCTTGAACACTGCCAGGGATGGGGCAGACACAGCTTCTCTGAGCAACCTGTGCCAGTGTCTCACCACACTCAGTGAGAATATCTTCCTTATATCTAATCTAAATCTACCTTCTTTCAGTTTAAAGCCATCCCCCCTTGTCCTATCCCTACAAGTCCTTAAATACAGTTCCTCTACAGGTTTCCTGTAGGCCCCCTTTAGGTACTGAAGTTGCTCTAAGGTTTCCCCAGAGCCTTCTCTTCTTCAGGCTGAATAACCCCAATTCTCTCAGCCTGTCTTCAAAGGAGAGGTGCTCCATTCCCTTTATCATCTTCATGGTCCTCCTCTGGACTAACCTGTATGTTCTAAAAATTGGTTTCAAATAGACCATTTTTTCCTAAATTTTATTCTACTCTTATAGGAGGTAGTCAGCCACGGTGAGCTGTCATGTCTTTGAATTTATGGTACTACTTTAAATTCCATTTCTCTTTTATTCATTATAAGAATTCTGAGAACTTGGACTGTAGCTGCCACCTTTCTTGGTCATCCTAAAGTGTTACTGTTAATTAAAGCCTTTCCAGTCATCCTGGAAACATCAATATTCTTAATACCTTTTTGTTCCATAAAATATATTGCAATACAACAAGGAAAAGCAAATTTGGCAAAGTCTTTTAAAATGAACCTGACATTCTCTAGAAGATGTACTATTATGCATATAAATCATCAGCAAAGTGAGCAATACTTTAAGTAGCAAAGCAGTTGAGCTTTGGTTTTCTCACACTGATTTAGCATCATTGGTAATTGTTACTTTGCACATCCAGCCAGACCTAACGGAGAAAGGATAGCTGCTCTGAAATCTGGTGGAGAAGGTTTCAAACAAGAGGCCAACCCTTTGCTAACAAACTGTATCCAACAACAGTATTAGATGGTTCATATATTTCCGACAAATCATTCTGGCCTACTCCTCAGTGGATGCTGTAGCCAGAGGGAAGTGGGGAGTTTAGACATAGGAGAATTAAGAGATTTGCCATGGAATGACTTTGCTAGATGTTACGCATACTCACGTAAGAAATTACCAATTAAAAAAAGAACTGAATTATACCTTACTTAACTTTTGAGCATTACTTATTGCACATAACTTACTCTGATTTTTCCCCTCTGCCCATTTCTGCAGAGATAATCAGTCCTCCATTCACAAAACCTCTCTTTCATTAAGTCTTCTCTACAAGCAATCACTTAGATCAAACCTGTGTAACCATTAACCTGGATCAGAGGGCAACCAAGACCCAACAAACACAGGTAAGTGTACGATAGATGAAGGGGCTGAATCAAGGTTAGAGAAAGACAGTGGCTACATGGTGCAGGAGCACATCTGTCAGACTAGGAGCTGGGAAGAGAAAGCCTTACCAGGCTGCTCAACTTTTAGGTTCCTTTTTTTCTGTTTTCATGATAGGTATATTCTGTGTTTAGCAAGCCTTACTTCCCTCAAATGAAAGGATATTTTGTTACTCAAGAAGCAGTTTTGCTTTAAAGTACAGCCCAGAACGGGGTGGGCTTTTCAGTAAGAAAAAATCCTAAGCTGCTGGCATCAGTTTAGAACCATCTTTTCTGTTAGCCAAAACGAGAAAATCATAAACAGTTCACCTTTTTAGGGCAGACTAGCAGCAGATGCACAGCAAGCCCATGCAGACTTATTTATATCAGTCAGCAAAGATGTGGCACTGTGCTAAAACTATGATTAAGACCATTTGGAAGAGAAACGTTCCGTGGAAATGCATCCGCATGATGAACGCAGCTCTGGGCACAGATTCCCCATAAAGTTAACAAGGAAAATGTCCTCTTCCATATAAGGCTGAGCCAGCGCCTCTCCCAGTGCAGGGCCGGCCCCCCGACACACGCGAGCGCTTCCTTTACCTCCACTGCCTAATGGCTTTTCCATCTGCCGAGCGCTGGAAAAACCCGGGTACAGATTTGCTAACTTGGGTTTGACTCTGACAGTTAGTGCAAAGCAAAGCGCTGCGCAGCCTCAGCCACCTCTGAGCCGCTGCAGCAGCCTGGTGCCAACAGTGACAGACACATTCTCCTGCAAGTGACTGGTTAGGACTGTGGATTGTCCTCTGCTGATTCTTCTGCTAAGGGAACAAATCAAAACAAGTAACGCCTAACTACACTAGACAGCTAAAGGAAGCCTTTGGAAACCATTGATGGAGCTGGAACTGAACAGTATGCAACCACAGATGACTGGAACAGAAAAGAACCCATTGTTACAAGAAATAAATTATTTTTTTGTGCAACGTTTACATATTTTCTATTATACTTGTTCTCCCCCTTTTAATTAAATCCTTGAAAAATATCCCAGAGTCCTTGAAAAAGTGATTTCCCCCCCAAAGAAAAAGGCAGCTAAAAGCTTACAAAAGGCAAGCTTGCCAAGAACTGAAACGTCTTTAACGACATCACCAGTTGGATCCTTTTTCAAAGGCTGCAAATGGTGTGCTGCTGGAAAACTGACTTTAAAATTATTTTCTGCGCATTTGTGAGCCGTACTCTTACTTTTGTTTAATATTTTAGAAAGACAAAGATGGACATAACCTCGAATGTTTGGACTCGTTGCTTTCCAAGGTTTTATTTTTTTGCTGTCTCTACAAAGAGTAATGCTTGAAGAGATTTTTTTCTTTATAAAACCAGCTTCGATGGAAATCTCTGGAGCTTCTAATTTGAAATGAAAGCCTCATTAAGTGACAACAGGATAAAGGAAGGATTATTTCTCCACAGTCAGATTAATTTTGAATTTGCAAATTAAGTACTTAGCACCTTTGTATTCTGCTAATCATTGAGATACTTACAAATTATGTTTACTACTCCACAGAACTGAAGCATTTGCAGCTTTTTAAACTTATTCATTAGAACACCAATAGGATCTCCGCAGAAAATTAACTGGGCAAATGGGGTCAAGAAAAAAAGGGTGAGAGTTACAGGAACATCAATTCCTTTGAAATGAAGTATCAGCGGCTACCCTGCTCTCCTCTCACCACTCTTCAGCTCAGCACTTCACCCTACCTGATGCAATTCATAGTTTATACCTATATTAAGGCAACATTAAAAACAAGCCATTAGGCCATTGCTGTGTTATTCCACTCAGCCAAGCAGCAACTCATGTGACTCAGCACTCCAGCATCCACCAAGCAAACGCCAAGCAAAAGAAAGCACTACCAAGGCATCTGCCCCTACTGCGTACTGAAGCGTGCCTTGCTGCGAAGCTTTCCATTGAAATACAGAACCATGCTGCAGGCCACAGGGGAAACGTTTAAATATGCAGGAGGGAGTTGAGGAGTTGTGCAGAAGCCACCTTTACCTTTTGGACGCAATAACCCGACAGTCTGCTTACTTTACAACCCCACACGCCACTCACACTTATAAACCCACAAAGAATAATCAACTCACTTCTGGACTAGTGTTTGTGTTTCCTGCCGACTGACACCTCTTTGCATCAGCTGCATTTGAAGCTCAATTCAGAAGTGCTGTATGGAATCGATCCCTCCTAGAACTGAGATGACATTTACAGGCCCTTTCATCCAGCTTAAGGATGGAACGTCACCAAAGAGAACTGCCTCATCCTCCTTGTTGAATATTCACCCTCTTTAATCAACCTTCTGGTTGATTCTTCTTACTGCTAACCAGTGCAGCCACTGAGTAGCACTGAAGCAAGAAAAGATCTGGCTGAAACACTAATTCAACAAAGAAAGTGGCTAATGTCAGCCATCTGGGTCCAAAAATGCTTGTGCTGGCATGGAGAAACTGGTGAGATGGGGATGGAGAAGAGAACTCGGGGAAAAAAAGGCAAAGGACACTGCTGTTCAGCCACTGTCCATGGCTGTATGCTCGACTGCACTGGTCACAGAGTCAACCCCCACTCTCAGTCATCAAGACTCTGCTTATAGAAAGAGCAGGAAGAGACATGTTTCTAAAATAAGCAGAATTAAATAGTCTCTGGAGACGCCCGTTTCAGGACTTGATGGCTACTCTGCTAAAAAAGTTCCTTTTCCCCTTA